TCGAGAAACGAAATTAACAAATCCTACTGCTGTGACTATTGTATATCCTCCGCCTCTCATGCTGGGATGTCTTGGACGACGGCGTCAATTCGATAATAAAGTTGCTTTCTTCTCTCCAGGCCGGTGATCGCTAGTCGTTTTGAGTCCAGAGATAAAAGAACTTCAACACAGGTATTTTTTTTAACTTAACTATTTTATTATCGTTCATGTCGACATGTTCTATCTATCCTTTATGGGTCGTCCCTCCTCCACAGGGGAGCTCTTTCAGACACGAAAGTAAACACGTCAACATTGTTTGACGGTTAAGTCTCGACTTTCTGAAAACGCATTTTCAAACTATCTATCCAACGCTAGTTCAGCCAATCAAAAACGACTTCCTTTGTTTTGGCTTGCATCTGACCTCGGAGGTCAACTTCTAGAAGTTGCAGTTGAGATACATTTCCCTCTTAATATAAAACTGCTAAACTATTATATAACGCGGCAATAAAAAACTACGACTGTATTTATTAGTGCATAGAATCGAAATCACTATTCAGTCGTAATTGTTCTAGCGAGACACGCTTGCTAACCATTATACCACGACCAAGGGATATGTAACGCTTTATGTGTCACGCTGGGATCATTTTCAATCTCGGGAAGTAGGCCATAATTATCGATCGTCTTTTATTGATCCCTGTCCACTTTGGTCAGCACCTGCAACTGTAATCGTGGTTGTCATTCAATGAAGCTTTTGTATTTACAACAAAGGATAAGAGTTTCAAGCAGACAATATGATGATTTTCTAAACGTAGTTTATATGTGCCACAAGGTCGAAAGTAGGGGGCACCCAGTGAGGATCGAACTCACTACTAAGTTGTAACTGTTCTAACTAGACAAACTTACTATTACACCTCGTCGAGGTGCCCATGGTTTTCTAAGCTTGGTTTAGATGTGGCACAAGGCCGTAAATGTGGAGAACCCCGTGAGGATCGAAATCACTATTCCTTCCTAATTGTTCTAGCGAGACAGGCTTGTTAAACATTACATTACTATAGAACTGCTTCGATTTTACGCATTCACCATCGTTTCTAATACAGAGAAGCCAATGGTGTCGGACGTTTAATTTAACTCTCCATATACAGACGAACTGGATCAGGTCAGATCGAGTATTCCTGATTGATAGGACTTCAATGACATGATGACATTGATGAGATTTTCTTTTAATCATTTCAACCCAAGCAAAGCGATAATGTCACTAAGACGCAAGGGGGCTACTGGGAGTGCAAGAGAATTTTTAGTGGGGGTCGTATCTCCCTCACTGGGGAGCTATTTCAGACACAAAAGAAAATACGTCAACATTGTTTGATGGTTAAGACTAGAGTCACTGAAAAAACGTTTTCAATCTATCATTCCCATGCTAGTTCAGCCAATCAAAAACGACTTCCATTGTTTTGGCTTGCATCTGACCTCGAATAAAAGAACAGAAATCAAGAAAACTGAAGATGGCGACTGATGTCAGGAAAGCAAGTAGCTGGAAGAGAGTTCCACGAGCGAAAAATGCAAGAGAAGAAACTATTAAAATAGAATTTACGGTTACATTTAGTTATTTCAACACTAACATTGCAAGGCTTATTGTCGATCTAGTTCAATCCACGATGTCGCGGTACCAAAGAGGGGAATTAATTAGAACAATTGCCATGAATATAGTTACATTAAAGAATGGAGTAAAGTACGTCACAGCGGTGGGAAAATGATCGAAGTCGAGATGGCAGGTCAGGACCGATAACATTGCAGATCTTTTTGATTTTGTCGAGATATACAGCAAGAGCACTAGACCAGGTCTGGCAAGAATATTTAATGCACAGATGAGTAGACCATTTTTAGTCTGATCTGAGTTTTATAAATATAGATTGATTGGTTTGTTTTTACGGATTATCAACCTTTTGCAGGTTATTTAAAGCCAGAAAATATTTTCAGATTGTAAGATCTTTTTCTTTTTAAATAATAATAATGATTTAGTGATACAAGTTTTGATAATTAACCCATAGCTGGGGAAAGATTAGTTTGATTCATACCTTTCCCAAGTGGATTTTCGCGTAAATGAATATAATGATCCCGACTAGAATTTGAACTCGGCTTTCCGATTAACAATTTCTTGCCATTATCTATCCCACCACCTGCACATCCAAGCTTACAGCACCTGGTATTACTAAGCGGTAACACATATAGGTATAGTGGGTTATTAGTTATAGTGAAGTGTATGAATGTTGAAACAAATTAGTTTCATTTGGCCTTGTTAGTTAGATAGCCCACCATAAGAGGTGTATAAAACAAGAAAATAAAATTGTAAAGTGAAACAACAAATTTATATACATATAAATCAATTTAGGTCTTTACAAATAAAATTAATGTATTTTGGTTGATACAAGGTCGTCAAAATGTTCGTAGTAGTCCTTGCAAGAATGAGTTTATGTGTGCGTAGGTAGGAACATATGTATGGATGTATGTATGTATGTATGAGCGTTATCGAAGGGTAGGAATGTCTTTGAAGTAATCGTTCAGTCTTAAAATGTTCCGTTCGTTTATCAAGTATAAAAGAGGTGAGGGAGGAAGGTAGAGATAATAATAACGATCGCTGGACGTTTGTCAAGGGACGTGTTAATACGCTCATCTCCTCTCTGGTGACAGGCGAACTTGTGCCCGTCTTTTATTTTATTTGTGGGGCTTGAAAAGGTCATTTGGGAATTCCCTTCCGGATATGATTCGGGCCTTTGTACGACGAACAAACTTCGCGTCGGCTCGCGAAAAGGTCCGTAAAAGAATTTGTTTCTGAGAATTGAAGATTATTTGAATTTTGTTTTTAAATGTTTCCTAGTTTTCTACCATCTTGGGTAAGACGATAAAATACGTCCAACAGCAAGGCCTCTGATCAGGAGGTTTTGAGGAGCATGGAACCACCTCTTAATTGGTAGTGTTCCCAGATCTACTCTGACCCAGAGTGGTAGCACCTGTTAGAGTTCCAGCTATGGGCAAATAGCTAACCCCAAACAGGGGTTAAATAACTATGAAACTGTAAAAATAGGTTTTAATACCCGAAATACTTTGTAAAAAAATATTACCAGCTATACATTTTTGAGAAAAAAATGTTACCAGCTATACATTTTTTTAAAAAACATATTACCAGTGATACATATTTGAAGGACAAATATTGCCAGAAATAGATTTTTTGAAAGAAATGATATTACCAACAATTAGCATTAAATAACCCATTGATATTGATATGCTGTAAAACAAACCAAACCAAACCTAGTTTTCTATTGGCCGAAAAACATTTCGCATCGAGTTTTATTTACATTATTCAGACTATTGTCGCAATCTTTGTCGCCGTATTTATTACAACGTACGCTTCGGCCTTCTTCAGGTGGTTGGAATGTCGATATGAACCCTTTATTTCGCTCACTGGGGTAGACTGTTCTAGTTCCACGTGTCATTTATCAGTTATCTCCCGCTAATTTCCCTCTGAAAGTTCTCCACTGCCTTCATCACCATCATCATCTTGCGGCTTCAGCCGAGATTGAACTCACCAATACTTTGATTGGTGTAGTTCATAATCTTGTCAAATAGCTGAATTCTTGATGCTTCGCTAGGGCTATCAAGGGTGTTGTTATCGTGACACCAACACTAAATAGATTGCCAACCAAGGCTCAGAGAGACTCCATTCACCCTCCTCTAAGAGCAAGTTTGAATTCAGAGTTTTTCTTCTCCTAGACCAGTGGCCATCCAAGGCCTGCTATTTACCCATAGCCTTAGCCGGGTATTGAACTCACACTCTTTGGGTTCTGTCACTGGATGTAACTAACGCCTTTATCCACTGCGCCATGTATCCTTGGGGACATCTGTGTATGAATTTCTGGTAACCTAATGTCTTCAGCAACTATTTTTACCAGTCCTCATATTGCAATTTTTGCTGTTATCATTAAATGTTTTTTACCAGAGCTCATATTGCAAATTTTGTTGTTATTATCGTTTTTTTCTGGCACTCCTTATTACTGGTTCCCATTTTTCACGAGTTTTGTTTTGCGTGTGTGTTGAGCAAAGTTTGTAAATTCGATTTTTAATTTCTAACAAAATCAATGAGTCAGTGCTTAGCATTTGAATTTTAAATCTTGTTTTGTTCACTACATAGGTAATGATCAGTCTATTTGTTATGGTCCGGTTCCTTGTACCACGATGATAGTCCAAGGTAGAACCAATAAAGATGAACTCGAATACGGATATGGAATAACACAGATATATTACAAACAGGAATATATACAGAGAAGAAAAAAGTGTTAGTACGAACAATCAGGTTTAGTAGTAATTGTCTGAACGCGACTCTGTTTCGGACTGCCTCTGACTCGACTGACTGACTCGTTCGCTCTGACTGACTGACAGGCTTCTGACGGACCTCACTCCAGACTTCAGACTGAACGGTATTTAGTCAACCCTCACCCCACGAGGGCATCATGTGGCACAAGGCCGGTTTAACGTGGGATCTCCGAGCCCGTGGGATCTTCGAGCCCGTGGGATCTCCGAGCCCGTGGGCTCGGCCAAAAATATTGCCCTTTGAACCCGTTTATACGGGTTCAGGATCGGTTTACCTCCCCGAAAGAGACTCCGCCCTTCGGCGTAGCCTCGTTCGGGTTCCTCCCCGCCTGAAGGCAGAGAATTCAACCGATCAGCCGATCAGCCGGTCGACCGACTTCGGATTGAACTCCCTGCTTCCTCTTGAGGCGCAGTATTTATTACGTATGGAATAGTCCAATATGTTATTATGTGTAAGGTCCCATAACACTATTTTATTTGGAAATAATAATTATATTACTGATATAAGTCCGACTAATTAGCCCATAACTGGGGGCGATGGATTCATGCCTCCCACTTACTCGCAAGTCAATATAATTTACCCGACTGGAATTGGAACTCTATTATTCATTTTCCAATTCCGTATCTTTATCTACTATGGCAGCCGTACATCAAAGCTGACAGCACCTGGTATTCCTGAGCGGTCACTCTTCTAGCTATTGACAAGGCACAACATTGCTTAACTTCGGCGATCGTACAAGAACGGGTGTTTGAATATGATGACTTATTATCTCCAAATAATTCTTTGAGTCTAAAATTATATTCCTGTATTAAATAACGGTTGATAAACTATGGTGGACTCTCCCGTCGTATTCGACGTATGAGTGTCAAGAGTTCCTAGGGACCGGCAGCCCAGACACCAGCACATATCTGATTATAGTGGTGAAGGCTTTGTGCAGACCCAACCACACTTTTTGAAGGGCTGAATAAACCACGTGCGAAAATGTCCCCAAACAACATCCAGAGTTGTCGTCCTAAGGCTATAGAACTTGCCATCTAATTATCCATAACAGGAGGGAGAAGAAAAGGATTCATATTAATGAATTCAACTAGAATTCGAACTCGGCTCTCTGATTCCTCAATCCGAGACTCTAGCCATTACTCCACCGTACCTCCTTGATAAGCTGTAAGACAAATATAAACAATTAATATTTACTTATCCCGTAATGAAGTAAATATTTATAGACTCAAATATAAAAAAACAATATTTACTTAACCCGTAATCAATTAAATGTTTATAGACTCAAATATAAACATTTATTTGCCTATCCCCAAACCAAATAAATGTTTATAAACTCAAATGTTAACAGCAAATATTTGCCTATCCTCTAAACAAATATTTATACTTCCGAAAATAAACAACAAATACTTGCCTATCTCGTAACCGAGTAAATGTTTATAGACTCAAATGCAAACAACTAATATTTGCTCATCACCTAATCAAGTAAATGTTTATAGACTCAAATACAAACAACTAATATTTGCTCATCACCTAATCAAGTAAATGTTTATAGACTCAAATACGAACAACTAATATTTGCTCATCACCTAATCAAGTAAATGTTTATAGACTCAAATGCAAACAACTAATATTTGCTCATCACCTAATCAAGTAAATGTTTATAGACTCAAATACGAACAACTAATATTTGCTCATCACCTAATCAAGTAAATGTTTATAGACTCAAATACAAACAACTAATATTTGCTCATCACCAATCAAGTAAATGTTTATAGACTCAAATACGAACAACTAATATTTGCTCATCACCTAATCAAGTAAATGTTTATAGACTCAAATGCAAACAACTAATATTTGCTCATCACCTAATCAAGTAAATGTTTATAGACTCAAATACGAACAACTAATATTTGCTCATCACCTAATCAAATGTTTATAGACTCAAATGCAAACAACTAATATTTGCTCATCACCTAATCAAGTAAATGTTTATAGACTCAAATACGAACAACTAATATTTGCTCATCACCTAATCAAGTAAATGTTTATAGACTCAAATGCAAACAACTAATATTTGCTCATCACCTAATCAAGTAAATGTTTATAGACTCAAATACGAACAACTAATATTTGCTCATCACCTAATCAAGTAAATGTTTATAGACTCAAATACAAACAACTAATATTTGCTCATCACCTAATCAAGTAAATGTTTATAGACTTAAATATCTGTCAGTTATGTGCCATGCGTGACACACACTTAGGCGATCATGTATCTTTCGATACATGACTGACGAGGCAGATGTTTTTTTCCCGCAGTAGGTGGCCATTTCTTTCTGCGGTAGACCAGTCGCCATCCAAGGCTATAGAACCCGGTCTGTCCTGCTATTTACCCATAGCTGTGGGGAGAAGAAGAGGATTCATACCTTTCCCAAGGGTATTAGTACGTAAGTAAATCTAATGGATTCGACTGGAAAGTCAGTCAGTCAGTCATATGCCATGCGTGATACACGCTTAGGCGATCATGTATCTTTCGATACATAACTGACGAGGCAGAATTTTCCTGCAGTAGGTTGTCATTTCTTTTTGCGGTACACCAGTTGCCATCCAAGTCTATAGAATCCGGTCCGTTCTACTATTTACCCATATCTGGGGGGAGAATGAGAGGATTCATATCTTTTCTCAAATATAAACAACCTATATTTGTCTCTCACCTAATCAAATGTTTATAGACTCAAATATTCTTTTTCTTGCTTTTTATGTGCCGTGTCCTTTCAGGACGTAGGCGATCACGGCTCTCCACTTCTTCCTATTCCTTGTGCCAAACAACCAAGATTTACCTATCTCGGAACTGAGTAAATATTTATAGACCCGAATATAAACGACCAATACTTACAGGTAAATACACGTTTACTTACACCTTTTTAGATATTACCACACGCACATACACACATGTCTGTATCGCTTTCTGTTCCAAGTACGGACACACACAGATATGTTCTTCCTGATTTTCCAATGAGAAATGAAGCTAAATTTCAACCCTGAAATCGTATAATGATTTTCTACAAACTCGTAGTTACTCATTTCATTGGCAGCATTGAACGAATTTTGTTCGTAAAGCCTCCATTTTAATTTTACTTCGAAAAAAAAAATCAATTAAATCTGGGGAAATGGCAAATCGTATTTTTATTTCGGAATTCGATCGCTTGTCATCTGTTTTTCTTTCTTTGTTTTGGAGCCAAAGATTTTTTGTGTCATGTAGGAACAGGAAAGTTCTTGGGTATCGGACATTCATATCTTTGGTCACGTTTCTCTTTTGATAATTAACATAGCTGGGTCAAGTTGCAATATCGAGAACAAGAGAGGAAGAGAGAGAGAGAGACAGGGAATACGAGAGAGAGGGAGAGAGAGAGGGAGAGAGAGAGAAAGGGAGGGGAGAGAGAAATAGGGGAAGAGAGAGGGGGGAGAGAGGGAAGGAGAATAGGAGAGAGAAGGATGAGAGAGACAGGTATGGAGATATAGAGAGGGAGGAAGAGAGAGATGACTTCGGAATCTCCTGCAACTCTTCTGGATGGTCTCCTTGTTTGTTGGTGAATGCTGCCATAATCCTTGCCTTTAGTTCATCTTTGGCGTTACAAAGAGTTTTGTTGGTCTCTTTCTCAACTCCAACCCGCATAGAATTACCAAGGGGGGGGGTGCAGTCTGGTGAATTAGGTGGACAGATGTAAGGGGTGACGTGGTCGTAGAAATTGGATGAAATTGAAAGTACTTGGGATAATAAAAGAAATAATCAAAACCACGACGTCTTTCTTCATCAGTTTAATAACAACACTAAGAAATTGATATGTGAATTTGAGAGGATTAAATAAAAATATATAGGCATAATACATAGGCAAACATAAAAACGAAATATACTTAAGTCTATATTACTTTAACAGAAAAATACATATAACAAGAAAATTCCATGGATTTATAACTTTTTAAAATTCAAACAAGATTCTCCATTGATCAGTTTGAACAAGAACTCCAGCGTCGCGCCATCACACGGCCCAAAACATATATTTAACTGTCAATAAATAGCATAATTTGAAACAAAAAAAAACATCTTTTGGTGTACACATATTTCGTCTTAGTGTTTGGCTATGTTTCCTACCGCCTGGTCAACACTCCTCCCCCTTCTCTTGGACATGAGTTGAGGCTTACGCCTTGTTTCTTGTCTAGGAAGGGGTTCCCAGTACTCTTTCTCTCTCCGGCCTCTGTATTAGTGCAGCTCTGTTTCTCCCGTGATGTGTGCAGTCTGTGGCACCACCTCTTCATTCTGAGGGTACACGGTTGACAGTTCTCTGGTTGCTGTTTCCGACTGGTAGTTAGAAGCCCTAACTCTTGCGTAGCTTCTTGAGCGGCCACTCTGATCAACAGTTGTATAATACCGGGGTGTTTATAGTGCCATGTCGCGCATGGAAAGGTGTCCCTGCAGCCACCTCCAGTAGGCAACCCTGAGGCCACATTATGATGCAGGCTGTGCTAACTCCTTTCTGCCCACGTCACGGTCGATAACTGTCTGCTTCTTTTGCTTCGGGCCTTCTCATCTTCCAACCATAATTCCATATGATGACTTACAAAGACCGAAAAAGTAATCCTAAACTAGCCCCTCAAAAATCACCTAAACCCCTCAACATTTCGTTCTCCAACATCCGTGGCATTAGAACAAACTTCTTCAGTATGGAATCTTTCCTCACTGCAAACTGCCCGGATATACTGGCTCTCTGTGAGACAAACCTTGTCTCATCTATCCCTTCCTCTGATCTCTCGATCCCAGGCTATCTTCCTCTCCTCAGAAAAGACTCTCTAACTCACATGCACGGCATTGGTGTCTACGTCAAAGACCATCTCCCTCTGGCCAGAGAGTCGTCTCTCGAATCGCCAGACCAGTCGTACATGTGTCTCCGACTATCTCTTCTCAATGCGGTAAGCTATCTCTTCTTCCTTTACCGCTCTCCATCCTCATGTAGGATACTCAATAGCATTTCTGACAGCATAGACAAGGCTCTCTCCCTCCACCCGTTTGCTCACATATTTGTGTTTGGCGGCTTTAATGCCCATCACACCTTGTGGCTTAAGAATGCTACTACTGACCACGCAGGCATTCAAACACTTAATTTTTCAGTCTCTCAATCCCTCACGCAGATAGTTAACTTCTCCACTCGTTTTGCCTTCAACCGGGAAAGTATGGGCTCTCTTCTCGATCTGTGTTTTACCTCCATCCCTGTCTTGTAGCACCACGGAACTATGCCCTCTTGGTAACTCCGATCATGCTGTAGTATCTGTTAACATCTCCTTCAACTCCACCCCCTACAAAGAACCTCCTACCACTAGAACTTCGTTCTATTATCAACGAGCTGACTGGGACGCGTTCCGTGATTTCCTCCGCGATGTCCCCTGGGATGGAGTCTTTAAGCTCCCCGTCCAAGAATGTGCTTCTGAGGTCTCATCCTGGGTTAAAGCTGGAATCGACGCTTTCATCCCATCAAGGAAATATAGGGTCAAGTCGCGCTCCTCCCCTGGTTCTCGGCTGCATGCTCAGCCGCCATCGCCCATAGGAACCACTACTTCCACCTATACCGTAGCGACATGTCTGAATGCAATAGACGTCTCTTTGCCTCCGCCCGTAACGAGTGTAAGCATGTCCTCAACGATGCTAAATCACTATTTGCTGCTCAGATGAAGGAGCGTATTGCATCTCGCAAATTTGGCTCCAAAGATTATTAGCGTCTCTGCAAGAGCGTATTGAACAATTGCAAACCCTCTATACCTCCTTTGTTCAACCAGTTCGAAGTCCTGACCTCCTCTGCCGACAAGGCTGAATGCTTTGCTCGGAAATTTTCATTCAACTCAACGCTCGACTCTTCCGGTGTACCCATACCCGATTTCCCTCTTAGAACTGAGGCCCTATTGAGTGGGTTACACATAAGCCCGTCTTTGCTATTGGGCATTATCTCCAATTTAGACCCCCACAAGGCTAAACTATATAACTACTGCCTCAAGGAATCTTGTTTTCCTGACTGCTGGAAGTCCTCTTCGATTGTTCATGTCTTCAAGAACTCTGGCGACCCCTCTGACCCTTCTAATTAACGTCCTATCAGTCTCCTACCCCTCTTCGGCAAAGTCTTCGAAGCCCTAATCAATACCGAGGTGGTTAACCACCTTACATCCCATGATCTGCTCTCAGACAAGCAATATGGCCTCCGATTTGCTCGATCTACAGTTGATGTGCTTACGGACATCACTGAAACTGTCTACCAAGCTCTTCAAAATAACGGGGACGCTCGTGCCGTGGCCCTAGACATCTCCAAAGCGTTTAATAGGGTTTGGCATGCCGGCCTTCTTCGCAAGCTCCAGGGTTATGGCATTACGGGTCGATTGTTTGACCTAATACAATCATTCCTGTTAAACCGTGAATTGAAAGTCGTTCTCAACGGATTCTCTTCCAGTTCCTATTCCACGAACGCAGGTGTTCCTCAAGGCTCCATCCTAGGCCCCACTCTATTCCTTATCTACATAAATGACCTTCCTGACGCCATAAATTCTCAAGTTGGCATCTACGCGGATGACACCACAATTTATTCTTGCCTCAAAAACAAATCTAGTGTCGCTGACAAAACTAACTTGGACGTGCGTCTCGAAAAGGACCTCCAATCGGTTGTGAACTGGGGCAGGAATTGGCTGGTCAACTTTAATGCCTCAAAAACAAAACTGCTCTCTATTGATCACCACAGAGATCCTTCCCTGCCCTCCATTAGAATGTCTGACGCTCAACTTCTCGAGAGGAACTCTCTGCGGCTGCTCGGTCTCACGTTGACTGCTGACCTGAGATGGAACAAATACATTGAGTCAATTGCTTCGTCCACCGCAAGGAAAGTTGGCTCCCTGTGCCGCGCCAGGAAATTTTTCTCCCCGGAATCGATCCTTCAGATCTACAAATCAACAATTAGCCCTCTGCATATATGGTCTGGAGCCCCTTCTGTTTGCCTCGGGGTTCTTGATAATCTCCAGAGGCGGATATGCAATATAATTGACCCTGTTCTGGCATCTCGTCTACAGTCACTTTCTCACAGACGCGCCGTCGCCTCTCCCTGTCTTTTTTACAAATACTTTCATGGTAATTGCTCCGAGGAGCTGTATTCGCTGGTTCCCAGACTTCATGAATTCAAGCGCCCTACGAGGCTGGTGTCCCGGTCTCACCCTTTCACTGTCGAAACTACTAAATGTAGCCGTCTCTTCTACTCCAATAGCTTCATGTCTCGTACCTCTCGCCTGTGGAACTCCCTTCCCTATTCCAGTTTCCCTGAGAGCTATAATCTCCAACTATTCAAATGTAATATCAATCGACATCTCCAGTTGCCTTGATCGATCCACTACCCTTTCTCCTCATCCTTTCCCCCTCACTCCTATCTGATCTTGCTCCAAATCTTCTGTAACCCTTGCGTCATAGTGGCTTCCCGTCTTGCTTGGGGCGAAACGCTTAAAAAAAATGTATGGGAAAAAATACCGCCATGAAGATAACAATTTGAAATAGTCGAAAGTACTTAGCATTTGTCTTCCATCCATCAACTCGAATATAAGAATCTGATTATTCAAGGAATTGATAATAAGTTAATGCCTCCTTCCTCCTTTACTTCCTTCCTTTCTTTTTTTTCTTTCTCCATTCCTTCTTTCCTTTCTTTCTTTGTCGTTCTTTGTTTTTAATAACTTCGTTATCTTTCGTTCATTCTAATAGCATCAGTTTTACTTTTTCTTTCTTTCTTTGTTTCTTTCTTTCTTTGTTTCTTTCTAATACATTCGGTCTTTCTTTCTTTCTTTCTTTCTTTCTTTCTTTCTTTCTTTCTTTCTGATAAATTCGGTCTTCTTTCTTTTTATCTTTCTAATGAGATTCTTTTTCTTTCTTTCTTTCTTTCTTTCTAATAACTCTTCTCTTTTTTCTTTGTAATAACTTCAGTTTTTCTTTCTATCTTCCTTCCTTCCCCCTTCATCTCTTTCTCTCTTTCTTCTCTCTCTTTCTCTCTAGTAATTTCTGTTTTTCTTGTTAGCGAAGTGATTACATTAACATTGCTAATTAATTGTTTGTATACATTCTTAATAATATATATATATATATATATATATATATATATATATATATGAATGTATGTATGTATGTGTGTTTTTGTATGTAAAGAGGTATCTTCAGGTGAGAAGTGCGAGAAAAGAAACTATAAGAATACGAATGATGGTTGTATCCAACTAGTTTAACAGTGGAACGGTGGGACCTAATTGATAATCTAGCAGTGCACTTAAATTCATGTAGTCGGGACACCAGGAGAAAAAACTTCATCAGAGCAGTTGTCCTGAAAATATTTGCAGAATAGACAGAGGGAAGCGACGTCACGTTGGTTGGAAAGTGATTGGAATCGAAATGTCAGGTCAGACATTTCTTGGAAAATTATAAAAAATCTCGAGATATTTATCCACTGAACTCAAACCGAACAATACCAGAGAATTGCCGAAAACACAGCAAGACGGAATATCTCTGGACATGAATATCGGAAAGAGAACAAACTAAGTTCATAGGTTAAATAAAGTTTTCAATTCGAAATTCCCTGAAGTTTTACCGGATCGACTACCTCCTGAAGAAGGCCGGAGAGTGCAACAACCGAAACGTTGTGATAACAACAACAAAGATGAGGACATTAATTTGACTGTAAATAAAGCAAATAAATATTTATTGTGTAAAGTAAATGCTTGTTTTCATCATTAGGCTACAGACTTATTGATGCGCTGACGGACGTACGACGGGGTGCTGAAAAGTTCACCGGTTGACCGAATTTCAAAATTCTAACTAAATGAGCAAACATCAGGCGTAATAGTCGGGCTGAGAACTTCCCAGCGCCATCTCGAATTATTTATTGTGTAAAGTCTTTTTCTGATACCCTTCAACTTTTTTTCTCATTAAATATTATTTACCAAGATGGATACCTACTCTTAATTCATCGACGATGGTGAGGCTCGACTACATTCGACGGAAAAATGAAAGTAAAAAGAAGAAAAAAAAAACATCGCCATTTTTTATTGGACAAATTAGATTGATATCACCAATTAGATTTGTTTTTATATCTGAGAAGGATGCGTTAATTCGATAATAAGTTTACGATAGTGAAAGAAAAAATATTAGTGAAGTTTTCTTACAAGATTACGATCCAATGTGACTAATTCTGAAAGATAACTTCATTTTATGAGATATGCACTGAAGATATATTTAAAAACTGTATCGATTTATCTGATGCCTTTGGTGTCCTTCCTTCTTTCCTTCCTTTTCTTTCTCCTTTCCTTCCTTCCTTTCTTTCTTTCGTTCATTCTAATAATATCGGTTTTACCTTTTCTTTCTTTCTTTCTTTCTTTCTTTCTTTCTTTCTTATAAATTCTGTCTTTCTACTACTACTACTACTAATAATAATACTTCTACTCCGATTACAGTAGATGCTAGATCAAAAAACAAAATAGACAAATGTCACTGGTACAGACACATACACAAGTGAATATAACAAATAAACTGAATCAGAGAATAAAAAATAGATATTAGTGGGTATGAACGGTAATCCACTGAGAATTGTTCAAACGACTATATAGATGAATAAAAGTTGTTCTAGAGAATAAAATTAAAAATATTTTACGATTTTAAAATTTAAATTGAGGACCTGACAGGTAAAAAGTAGAGATTGAGGAAAAACCTATCAACTCCTATTCAGGAAAAATAGAATTGAAGTGAATATTTAAAGAACCGTAAATCCAATCCTAGATAGGAAACAATGGATAAACCTCTACTCCTGTTCAAAAGACCTGGGAGGAATATGAAGCAGGTGACAGCCGAACATATTTACACGTACTGGGGAGAAAAATAAATTAATAATTAGTAAATAAAATTTCAGGTAGAGACATTAAAAGTATAGAGTTGAACTAGACCGGTAACCAAATCCTAAACAGGAAACAAATGATAAACCTCTACTCCTGTTCAAAAGACCGTTGAGGTGTGTGAACCGGGCAATTTGCTGCTAAAATCGCGAGAGATCTGTGCTCCCATACTTAAACAGACATCACTGGGTGTTTAACCAACAAAATGTTTGATCTCCAGTTGAATGCTCTGTCCAAAGCATTACTTTTGGTATTCAACCAGTGAAATGTCAGTTGTGTAAGACTCTTGATAACGTTCATAAGTTTTGTTTATCGTAATGACGCTGATAATTTCTAGCCTAAAGGCAAGCACTACATAAATATAGATCCAGACAAGACTTACCTTAACTGATAGAGACAGGTATAGGATGAAAATAAGAAGCGGAAGATAATCATTTTTCCAGTCGAGTTCGTTAGATAGCTGTTAAATGTATGAATCCATCTTTTCTCATTACCCCCCCAGTTATGGGTTAAATAGTAAGACAAAATTAGTTAGGTTAAACGTCCAGATACATCGGACATCAAAATTTTAGTTTAAATGTTAAACATCTCTCTATATTTGTCATTTCGATATATTTTACTAATGATCACACAATACAAAGCACAAGAGCCACTCAAGATAGAGCGTTATTGTATCGTGTTGTATGAGCGTAAGAAATGACAAGAAAAAATTTATACATAGTCATATGTGGTTGAGCGGTCAGTCAAAGCATATGGAGGACACAAAATGCCATAATTCAAAGTTTCCAACTGTTTTGACTGACCTCTCAACCGTCTGATGAATATTCATGAACGTCCTCAAATTTAAAAGCCTTGATAAATCAATCCCATCCTTGCTTTTGTGTATAAACACGTATAACAGAATAAATCCCACATTTTCCTTGATATAGTCCCTCACTGGGATATTCTGTTCTAGTTCTACGTGCCATGTTTGATGGATATCCTTGAGGACACATGGCACAGTGGATAAAGGCGTTAGTTAAATCCAGTGACAGGACCCAAAGAGTGTGAGTTCAATACCCGTTTAAGGCAGTGGAGAACTGTTATACTAGAACATTACCTATTCTATTGTAATAGACTCTCCCACACATAATAAGTAGTAGTAGTAGCTTTCGCCAGTTGGGCTCAGTGGAGTTGAGTGAGTCAGTCGATGTCGGACATTAAAGTATCAACCACCACAACTAGATTGCTGCGTCATTAACTATAATTTTCAAGTTCCTAACGTTTTGTACGTCGGACCCTTTGAGGACTGACTTATTAAAATACAAGCCTCCACTGTGAAAACTACTTTGCAACAAAAACTTGGAGAGGAGAATTAACAGGATATAACTGATAACTGACATTAAACATGGCATGTGGAACTAGAACAGTCTACTCCAGTGAGCGAAATAAAGGGTTCAGTTCGACATTCCAACCACCTGAAGAAGGCCGGAGAGTACAACGGCTGAAACGTTGTAATAAATATGACGACAAAGATGAGGACAATAGTCCGAATAATGTAAATAGTGTACATAATACCTCATCTCAGAAATATAGACAGATACTGAAGGGCTGAAACGTTGTAATAAATATGACGACAAAGATGAGGACAATAGTCCGAATATTGTAAATAGTGTACATAATACCTCATCTCAGAAATATAGACAGATACTGAAGGGCTGAAACGTTGTAATAAATATGGCAACAAAGATGAGGACAATAGTCCGAATAATGTAAATAGTGTACATAATACCTCATCTCAGAAATATAGACAGATACTGAAGGGCTGAAACGTTGTAATAAATATGGTGACAAAGATGAGGACAATAGTCCGAATAATGTAAATAGTGTACATAATACCTCATCTCAGAAATATAGACAGATACTGAAGGGCTGAAACGTTGTAATAAATATGGCAACAAAGATGAGGACAATAGTCCGAATAATGTAAATAGTGTAGAATGTAAAACATTTTAAAAAATTATAAATTATTGTAATTAAAATAAAAAAAAACGAAATCAATTTTTGTAAAAATTCATTATTTCTCAAAAATGTTTTTTTCTTAAAAAGTCATGTCCATAATATATTTTATACCTAAAAGATATTAAAATCTTTTCTTATTAAAGAGTATCTTAATTTTATTGCATGTTTTATTTTACGATACCGAGCAGATTTTCTGTAATTGGAATTCTGTTTGACTGGAATTATTTGATGATTTAAATTCTCCGAGGACTTGTCCTTATAATTAATATCAACATTAATTAAGCACTATAAAAACGAATTTCGTGAAATTAATTAAAATCAAGTGGGTGAGGTAAAAAAAGTTTTTACAAAGATTAAAAAAAAAGAAACATTTAAAAAAACAATTTAATTCATTTGTAAATAATTCCTGAAAGTTTAATTAAAATCGACAATTATCTGATTCCACAAGAATTTCTAAATCAATGTTTTTCACCGTGAAAAAAGCGTTCACATTTCTCGTACAAACTTGAGGTGCCACGTTGACGCCAAAAAAACAAAAACAAAAAAAACAAAAAAAGATGAACATTTCCAATTTTATCCTGATCCTAATCCTAAACTTCCCAAGGATAAAATAAATAATTTCTACATCAAAACCTCATTTAGTCTTGATAATAACAAATATTTAGACGATAACATTTTGATTTAATTATGCTTTTGGCATTTATTTTGTCCTAATTTTTTGGATTTATCGCAGAATCCCTCATATCCGGAATCTCTCATATCCGGAGTGTCTCATATCCGGAATTCCGCATATCCGGAGTGCTTCATATCCGGAATCCCGCATATCCGGAATCTCATGATTTTTGATGCATATCCGGATATTTTGAACTATTTTGGGTGATATGTAACTGATTTGAAATTTCTGTTTATCAGGAAATTTACTTTGGATAATTGTTTATGCTTATTTCACCCTAATGGCTTGTATTGGTGCAAAAGATGATCGGAATAAAAGGAAAAGAACAACTTTGGAGTTATCGCAAAAAGTGGAAATTTTAAACAGACTAGACGCTTTTGAAAATTCATTGTAACTAATGGCTAAGTTCAACAGAGGAAAGTCAACATTGTATGATATAAAATCTTCCAAAAGAATTATTCTCCAGCCTTCGCGCTGTCACAATGAACAAGGAAATAAAAAAAAAACATGATTACTTTGTTACTCTCTCCCTCTTTCAAAACGGAACAGTCCATTATTTGGCAAGGCGTAACGGTTGAGCGAAGTAACGTTGTGAGGAAGAAACACAAATATGATTTTTTTTTTTTGCAAAAGTACATTCTGGAAATAATCCACAGTTTCAATATTGCAATCCTGTCTTAACATTATCACTATTCCCATTATAAATCTTGTGAAACGACATTATGGCGCTTTTTATTAAACAGGAAAATGGTAAGTTACTTACTTCATATATTTTAACGAATACATTTATTTATATGAAGTTTTGAAAAAGAAGATTTTGGAATGTAAATTCTTCCTTGCTCCCATGTTCTACCCATAACATGCTCAGCATCCTTCTGTAGAACAACATCTCTGTCGCCACACGCCCTTCTTTCATCTGTGAGGAAATTGTTCAGCATTCAGTACCATATAAGGGGATTAATATTGCATAGTAGTTCAGCACCATTTTTTTTGTTTCTAATGAAATTTTCCTGTTTCTTAATAGTTTTTACCTTTTTTTTTGAAAACGTGTTCTACCCATGATATTCTCAGTATCCTTCTGTAGAACCACGTCTCTGTCGCTTCACATCCGCCTTTTATCTACGAGGAAATTGCCCAGCATTCACTGCCATATAAGGGGATTAATATTGCATAGCAGTTGAGCGCCATTTTCTTTGTTTCTAACGAATTTTTCCCGTTTCAATAGACCGAATATAATTAGGATGAATCTGTGATTCCCAACCGATTTTGGGCCATGCCTCACTTTGGTATTTCTAAAACTCTGGTGAGCCCTGTAATATTTAATTCTTACATATTCAAAATTTTACTGCAATTCATGTAAAGGGAGCTTAAAAGGCCATTAACTTGGTCTCTAAACAAACCTCCAAAGAACATGGCGTCCATGAAAGAGAAAAATTAAAAAAAAAAAGACAAGAAAACAGTTAAATATATATGTAGTTTAAAAACATTTAATGGAGAACTGAAAGGTAGAAATATAAAATATTTGAATGAAAATTAAAAAAAAGACAAGACAGTTAAATGTATATATGTATATGTATATATATATATATATATATAGATATAGATATAGATAGATAGATAGATAGATAGATAGATAGATAGATAGATAGATTAAAAACATATAATGGAGAACTGAAAGGTAGAAATATAAAATATTTGAATGAAAACTTATTCTGTAATATACTTTCATCATTTTAATCATGAAATAATAATGCAAAATAAAATTTGATCCCATCACAAAATGACTGTTAGTGAGATTCTTGTGCCTCATGACTGCTACAGATAGATTTTATATTAGGCACCTTAGGCTCAAGTCTCCTCGTTTAGTGATAACCAGTCGATTTCTTTTCTTCAATAACAAATCATTTACAGCACTAAAGCCACATTCAGCTAAATAGGAAGATGGAAATGGTAACAACAAATTTCTTGCAATGGTGCTTGAATTTTGGGATTTAGTTATTGTCTCATCACAAAGCCATGTCATCACTCCTTTTTATATTGGATGAAGTTTTAACAGACTCATCATTTTGCATCTCCAAGAGTTCTTCTTGGTACTGCATTGAATCATCAGAAATATCCACTAGCATTGGCTGCATCAGCCATGTTGGAAAATCAATTTGTATTAGATCAGCATGCCCCATCAAAATATTACCATGCCACACCGGTGGGGCATGCGCATCACGTTGGGAATCATTACTATAAATAGAAAGATATTTTACTTTTTTTTTAAAAATTAGTATTTTTAAGTGCTCGTCAGCATCAGGATTTTTTCTTAATAGCCACCATGTTTCAGAGGCACGAAGTTCTCTCCTTCAATTATTGGTTCTTTGTCCGCCTCGTATGGTTCTAATGAAGAAACCAAGTAAGTAGTTGAGGAATTCTGATTCCTATGAAAAGTTCTGTTCGCCAAAGAGATTTTTGCAATATACTTTGAAACCGCTGCATATATTAGCCGATGTTTGCAACAGCCGTCCATCCGAGTATGGAGAATTGGCGACTGAATTGTTCTGATCCTCGCCGGACTTCTTCTTTATGTGTAAGCATACAAAGCGATTCTCGCCCAAGCTTTCCATCGACCGGCCAATGATCTAACCCAAGTTGCATTTCAATTCTCGATCTCGCCGGTGAGCACCGAAAGCTGGAAAAGGGCCGGATGCATGTTCACAAGGTTACGAGATGAAAGAGATACACAACGCGAAACCTGTCTCCCCGTAATATATGTAGAAATTTTATTCATGAATTCGCCTGCTCACCTGGGTGAGTAGGCGAATTCATAAATATCTATCTATCTATCTATCTATCTATCTATCTATCTATTTAATTACCGTTTATATCTATCTATCTATCGCAATTTTTGTACGCTTCATCGCAGACAATCGCCGTAGGACAACTAATCAACAATCGAGACAATAGTGTTTGGGTGTGATAAAAATTTGATGCAATCAAGGACGATGGAATATTTTTCAAAGCCAAACAAATTTCATCATACACCTCACTTTGTACAACTTCTATGTCGATCTAATACATCAACTACAACTCCTCTTCCAACTCTACATCTCAACATGTGGCTGGCAATAAGAACGGGTGGGATTGGAACCACCCGACGGAAGGGTCTGTTTTCCGCCAACAGTGGACTAGAGCTGAAACCCCCGATATCAAACGTGACCGTTAATATAGGCCAGTACTCGGAGATAATCAATGTCCGGTTTGTTGTCGCTTGGTCTTTAAAAAAAAACCTCATCCCCACTTTTACTTCTCCGTTCCCCTTTCGGTCTATGTAGATGCCGCTTAAAAGACCGGACTTCAGATTGAAACAACTGCTGACTTAAAACTTGAAATCGCGATAAAAACCACACCCACCTCTTATACGTGGGTGTATATAGTGTTACATATGCAAACAACCTCAAAGAAAATATGGCATTTTTTATTGATGTCTATACGAAATAATTCGCTGAAAATTAATTCTATTCGATGTAGAATTTTACGTTTTCAAATCTATATTTTAGTTGGCGCTGACATCTAAAAGCCGACAGTTTGTTCAATTCAGTTTTCCTCTCTTCTCTATTGACCAGAATTTTAAATTCTGTTATCTTCTTTTATCTTTGATTTTTTTTTTCTAACTTGATTCGGAGCTTAATGTCAATCCAATCGATACATTCCACGTGTCGTTGCTTTAGCTTGAAGTCTGTTGAAATCACTGACGAGATAAACACGGCAACTGTCTATGGGTCCTAGTGCGTTATTACTACAATTTTTGGAGTTTTCTTTCACGAATTCAGAGTGGAAATCAGATTCACAGCAGCGAATAATAATAATCCTCTTTCCGAGATGCATTTGCCGAGTCTTGTCTTGTCTTCTGCTGTGGTGATGCACATTTAGAAAAAAATGGTTGTCGATGTCGGGAAAACTAAACTCTACAAGTGGGCTGTCTTCAATTTCTGTGGAAAAGACGACCAAGCAATAAATTGAAAACCAATCTATCTATCTATCTATCTATCTATCTATCTATCTATCTATCTATCTATCTAATTACCGTTTATATCTATCTATCTATCGCAATTTTTGTACGCTTCATCACAGGCAATCGCCGTATGACAACTAATCGACAGTCGAGACAATAGTGTTTGGGTGTGATAAAAATCTGATGCAATCAAGGACGATGCAATATTTTTCAAAGCCAAACAAATTTCATCATACACCCCAGAAATAGATTCATATTTTTGTACACCACCGCAAATGACCCAGTTTGAGGAAAAAAAAACAGAAAATTTAATTTACACACTGTCACCCCAGTGGGTCTAAATGACAATATAGTGAAAGAAAGGAAACTAAAGTCGTTGTTTCCATTAATTTGAACAAGGGTGTAGTAACGCCGAATAATAATGTGTGAAGATAGTGCAGCTCCAGACCAGATACAGCAGCAATGCTCCATTTTGGATCTCATCTGACTCTTGTAAATATGAAGTGTGATAGAAGGACTCTATCAATATTGGGAAGTGAGGATTGTGTAGCTCCAGCCTAGATATGGCAGCTATACTCCATTGTGGGTCTAATCTGATTCTTGTAAAGATGAAGAATGACGGATGGAGTTAGATACTTCTATTTTGCCAGTATCTTTCGCATTAGATTGAATATCAATGTTCCACTTGATGTTTGGAGTGAACTAGAAACCCAAAAGATTTTCCAAGCATGGAGCTTCATTTGGAAAGGAACGGTATATCGTGAGTAAAAGTGTTTTCTTTTTATTCATTGGACTTCAAGCAAGGTAATAAAACACACTCGGCCGCACGCGGTCACTGAGAGTGAAAGAACCAGCGAGGAAAATAAGAAGAACAAGGAAAACAGAAATTGCATTGAATTTTTTGAAAATCGTAGTTGAAAGGGAAGAAAGAACTAGAAGATAGTCTCACCGGCGAGAAGTTCGTGAAAGAAAACGATTACGATAGTTCTTGGTTAAAAGTTGTCATTTTAAAAGGGGGACCTAACTACCAATCTAGTACGACGATTATATTCATGAATTCGAGCTACCAACAAGGAAATCAGAACAATTACTTAAAAAAAAAATTTTTATGGAAAAGGCGAAATGGAAATCTACGTAAAAGTGACTGAAGCCGCAATGCCAGGTCAGGACCAATAACTTTGTCGATTCTTTGGAGTTTGTCAAGAATCTCGAGGCACATGGCAGAAGCACCATATTGTACAAAGATTCCTTGCTGTTCCAAAAGATCTTTAAAGTATTTTGTATGTCATTTTCTGATACCTTTGGACAAAACAAAAAAAAAAAAAAAAAAAAAAGAAGAAAAAATAGTTGGATGAAAAAAGGTGATTGGAAAAGTGGTATGTTATTTTGCGATATCTTTGGGTAAAACAAAAAATATTTGAATGAAAAAGGCTAAAGGGGTATTGGAAAGGTGACTGGAAAAGTTGGAGGGGAAAAAAGAGTCGAGGCTGGGTAGTTATAAAAGAGAGATCGAAGATGGGTGGTGCTGTTCCAAAAGTTCTTTAAAGTGTGTGGTATGTTATTTTGAGATATCTTTGGACAAAAAAAAAAAAAAAAAGAAGAAAAAATAGTTGGATGAAAAAAGGTTATTGTAAAAGTTGGAGTGGAAACCCGGGTCAAAAAGGGACGAAGCTAGGTCGTTATAAAATAAAGCTCAATGATGGATGGTGCTATTCCAAAAGTTCTTTAAAGTGTGTGGCATATTATTTTGCGATATCTTTGGGCAAAACAAAAAAATATTTGGACGAAAAAGGCTACAAAGAAGATTAAAAAAGTTGGAGGGAAAAGCCGGGTCAAAGAGGGTTGAGGCTGGGTCTTTATAAAAGAGGGGTCGAATTGATATTCTCCTAGTTACAATAATCAAGGGGACGTCATTTCTTGACTGTCGAAGCTTCGTCTTTTTTCTTGAATAGTTTCGACTTCCGGTCGAGCCACACCCAAAGCCACGCCTTCTTTGGATCTATGCAATTTCGCGTAGGTTTACTTGACTTCTGGCGTCCGATACTATTGGCTGGCTTCCCGGCTTAGAAAATCTTTCAAGACTTCCCTTTTAGAATTTTTATACATACGATGCATCGATTGTGACATTGTATCGATTTGTGAAATGGTACAGTATGTAAATAAATATTTATTATATTTCAGATATTGATTTTTAATAGTCTGACCGCTGAACATAGGACTGGGCGAAGACCGTTGAGATATTTGCCTAGGCAGAAACTTTAAACGTATTTCATGTTATTTCGTTCTTTTGCTGTTGCGAGGGGAGACGATGAGTTTTTAGATGTCACAACGAGCCGTTCCGTTTTTATTCGGATAAAAAACTGGGATATTAACATTGAGATCTCTAATCTATCTATCTATCTATCTATCTATCTATCTATCTATCTATCTATCTATCTATCTATCTATCTAAGTCTGTTCACATCTATCTATCTATCTATCTATCTATCTCAGTGTATCTATCTATCTATCTATCTATCTATCTCAGTGTATGCATATCTATCTATCTATCTATCTATCTATCTATCTATCTATCTATCACTGTCTGTTTTTTCTATCTATCTATCTATCTATCTCAGTGTATGCATATCTATCTATCTATCTATCTATCTATCTATCTATCTATCTATCTATCACTGTCTGTCTATCACTATCTGTCTATCACTGGCTGTTTTTTCTATCTATCTATCTATCTATCTATCTATCTAAGTCTGTTCACATCTATCTATCTATCTATCTCAGTGTATGCATATCTAAGTCTGTTTACATCTATCTATCTATCTATCTATCTATCTATCTATCTATATATCTATCTATCTATCTATCTCAGTGTATGCATATCTATCTATCTATCTATCTATCTATCTATCTATCTATCTATCTATCTATCTATCACTGTCTGTCTATCACTATCTGTCTATCATTGTCTGATTTCTATCTATCTATCTATCTATCTATCTATCTATCTATCTATCTAAGTCTGTTCACATCTATCTATCTATCTATCTCAGTGTATGCATATCTATCTATCTATCTATCTATCTATCTATCTATCTATCTATCTATCTATCACTGTCTGTCTATCACTATCTGTCTATCATTGTCTGTTTTTTCTATCTATCTATCTATCTATCTAAGTCTGTTCACATCTATCTATCTATCTATCTATCTATCTATCTATCTATCTATCTATCACTGTCTGTTTTTCTATCTATCTATCTCTCTATCTCAGTGTATGCATATCTATCTAAGTCTGTTCACATCTATCTATCTATCTATCTATCTATCTATCTATCTATCTATCTATCTATTTATCTATCTATCTATCACTGTCTGTCTATCACTATCTGTCTATCACTGTCTGTTTTTTGTATCTATCTATCTATCACTGTCTGTCTATCACTATCTGTCTATCACTGTCTGTTTTTTGTATCTATCTATCTATCTATCTATCTATCTATCTATCTATCTATCTATCTATCTATCTATCTATCTATCACTGTCTGTCTATCACTATCTGTCTATCACTGTCTGTTTTTTCTATCTATCTATCTATCTATCTATCTATCTATCTATCTATCTATCTAAGTCTGTTCACATCTATCTATCTATCTATCTATCTATCTATCTATCTATCTATCTATCACTGTCTGTCTATCACTATCTGTCTATCACTGTCTGTTTTTTGTATCTATCTATCTATCTATCTATCTATCTATCTATCTATCTATCTATCTATCTATCACTGTCTGTCTATCACTATCTGTCTATCACTGTCTGTTTTTTCTATCTATCTATCTATCTATCTATCTATCTATCTATCTATCTATCTATCTATTACTGTCTGTCTATCACTATTTGTCTATCACTGTCTGTTTTTTCTATCTATCTATCTATCTATCACTGTCTGTCTATCACTATCTGTCTATCACTGTCTGTTTTTTCTATCTATCTATCTATCTATCACTGTCTGTCTATCACTATCTGTCTATCACTGTCTGTTTTTTCTATCTATCTATCTATCTATCTATCTATCTATCTATCTATCTATCTATCTCCATCAAACATCGCCATAAACATTGTAAAGAAACTTTTTTCTTTTTTTAATTTTTCATCAGCCACAAATCTGCTAAAAATCTTCCGGTTTGTGTCTTTCTCGGTCGACTTCCGGTTTGTCCGACATTTGGATATTTTTTTTATTAAGTTGGTCCTAAGATTTCGGCTCACATAAACCATCCTCGGAGTGGTTATACAGACATGAAACAAAAATATCCACCGTCAAAGATGATATTTTGTTATTTTGACATAGAAAATTGCTATGCGACGATAACAGTCGCAGAATACCAGACGCAGATGAGGTTCTATGACGTCGTGTACATAATATTAGACAGATATTAGTTGATAACACAACAATACTCACATATACAGCCAGTGAAAAGAACGTTAAGATATTGGAGGCCATCTATATTAAAACAAATCAATCTACACTCAACAAAATTACATTTCAAACTAGTCACAACACATAACGCATCTAGACATTAGTTATGTTGTAATACTTCGATCTATCGCGTGGTATGACGTCATAGAACCGCATCTTGAATTTACGACCAGCGTCTGCTATTCTGCGACCGCTATCTTCGCATAGCAATCTTCTATGTTAACATAACAGAATATCATCTTTGCCGGTGGATATCTTTGTTTCATGTCTGTATAACCACTCTGATGATGGCGCATGTGAGTCGAAGCTTAGGACTAAATTAATAAAAAAATCTCCAAATGTCGGACAATTTTTGTCTTTATTTACACCAGAAATTAAAGCAAACATCCAAACGACTCATGGTCAGACATAATAGACATTCATTGTCTGTTATATTTAATAATATATGTTTAAATATATATATATATATATATATTGTTAAATATAACAAAGCAGGAATCTCTATGATGTTTGATTAAGAGCCGTTCTAAAGTTTGTATATTTGCTTTAATTTCGGCTAAAAATAAAGCATGTTATTTAGCAGATCTGGGAGAGAGCGTGTTATTTGGCGTGAGCAACAATCTGAATAAGAAGAGCACACTCACGTCCTCGGTCACGATGACTTGTGATTTCATGCTAGCACAGCTATCGACGGTCCCTCAAGGGTTCCGTCTACCCAACTTTACTCACCAGGATTAGGTCAACCCATGCTATGGTTTTTGGGCATTTTCCAAACGTGCCGCGCGGTGGGATCGCCCCTGACATATCAACTGGGGTGAGATTCGAACCCGGGTCTCATGGTCAGAAGGCGAACGTTCAAACCACTCGCCAATACAATATAATATAATATAATTCTCAAGCAATTACATATTCTAATTAAATAATGTCTTAGATTTATTGCAATTTTTAATTTACGATTCAGACCAGAATTTCGGTAACTGGACGTCCTGTTTAATAAAAAGAAATTAACGATTTAAATTTCCCAAGGAGTTTTAGCTTTTAAGTAATATTAGCATTAAGCGCAACAAAATTCAATTTTTTTGAAATTTCATAAAATTAAATAAGTCGGGGTATAAAAAAAGAAAAATTAGCAAGATTTCCTAATTCTATTTTTGAATAATTCTTGAAAATTTCATTAAATTCTGACAATTATTTGAATTTTGCTAGAATTTTCAAATTACTTCACCCGTTGACGCAAAAAAAAAAAAAAAAAAAAAACAAACCTAAAAAACAAACAAAATTTTTAATCAAGTTTTTAAAAGTTTTAAAAACATTTTGATCCTTTAAAAAGAATAAAAAAATATAATTTAATAATCAAAAAATTCTTTGGTCTCTTAATAATAACAGAACGGCTTTGTGTTAAAATTTGTTTTTATTAAGATTGCGGCATTTTTCAACATGGTATGCAAATTTTTTAGCGATTCAGTGGTGGTACACACACACACACACACACACACACACACACACACACACACACACACACACAGACACAGACACTCACACACACATATTATTGCTTGAACATTATTTTTAGTAAATGCTTTTGTTACAAACTATATTTATTTATTTTCGTCTATGGGCCTGAATATTCGAGAAATCTTATTAAAAAAAAAATATGCGCTCTCCAACAGGATTCGAACGTGCGTCCCCTGGGGAGGAGTCAACGCACTTCGGAGCTGAAATGGTCTAAAAGCACGCCGGATATAAAGAAAATAAATAAATATACTGTTTAATAAAACGGGGTGTCTACTCAAACACGAGTATCCACGGTTAAGTAATAAAATCAGTAGAATTAATAAATAAAAATCAATTACGTACAGTAAAAGCCTCAAGGGTCACTCAAGGTGGAGGCTTACTGTGTTGAGTTGTATCAGTGTAAGAAAGAATAACATAACAAGAAAGATGTCTAACGCAAAAGTTGAAAAGGTCAAGATTTAATTAGCGAATAAGATTTCAAAGTTCAGGCGGAGACGGTTAATGGATAAACCTCTACTCCTGTTCAAAAAACAATGGAGGAGCATGAACCGGGCGATAGGCAAACCTATCTACTCCTATTGGAAGAAGAAACAAAATTATTGAATAAGATTTCAGAGTTCAGGCGGAGTCGTTGAAAGTGTAAAGTTGAAGGAACTGAAGATTCATTTCTAAACAGGAAACAATCGATGAACCTCTGCTCCTGTTCAAAAGACCGGGGAGGAGTGTGAACCGGGCGATAGGCAAACCTATCTACTCCTATTGAGGGAGGAGAAGAAGTAATTGCTGAAAAACAATTCAGAGTTCAGATGAAGAGTTTAGAAGTATAGAATTATAGTAGATTTTAGAATGAACCAGAAGCCCACTCCTAAACAGTAAACAAGGATTAACGTCTAACCCCGACAAAAAGCTGTGGAAGAGCATGAACCGGACGATAGGCGATCGTGTCCACTCCTAACCCACGTTTATATCTATCTATCTATCTATCTATCTATCTATCTATCTATCTATCTATCTCAGTCTAATCATAATCAATACATTTAACTATCTGGCTCTATTCATATCTATCTATCTATCTATCTATCTATCTATCTATCTATCTATCTATCTATCTTTGACATTCTGTTTATATCTATCTATCTATCTATCTATCTATCTATCTATCTATCTATCTATATGCATGTGTGTATGTGTTCACACGCGTGTTCGTGCGTGTGTGTGTGGATCTGTGCGTTATTACGCGCGAGTGTGTTTATCAAGGATTTTATTAAATGCGGCAGAAGCATTGCCGTTCTGAGCAAGTTTTTAGACAATTTTCGGCAAACTAAAAAGCGTAATTTCGTACGCGACGGAAATCAATTAAATTCTAAGTGAAACGTTGCAAAAATTTGCGCATGCGAGTTTGCTGCAAGAGCACATGTAAGCCATTATTGCTTTTCGATAAGTGTAGGCGGGGTCGGCTACAAAATGGTGTCATTTGGCCTCTGATTATTTCAAAAAAAGGGGAAGTCTGGGAATATATACAGATTATGTGTTTATGATGATTGACCTATCTATCTATCTATCTATCTATCTATCTATCTATCTATCTATCTATCACTGTCTGTCTGTCTATCATTATCTGTCTATCACTGTCTGTCTTTTCTATCTATCTATCTATCTATCTATCTATGGCCATCAAACATCGCCATAAACATTGTAAAGATTCTTTTTCTTTCTTTAATTTCTCATCAGCTAAAAATCTTCTATCTATAATATTCTGTTCATATCTATCTATCTATCTATCTATCTATCTATCTATCTATCTATCTATAATCTCTCTATCTCAGTTTAATCACAATCAATACATCTATCTATCTATCTATCTATCTATCTATCTATCTATCTATCTATCTATCTATCTATCTCATTCTGTTCATATTTTATCTATCTATCTATCTATCTATCTATCTATCTATCTATCTATCTATCTCAGTCTATTCATTATCTATCTGTGGAGGATTGAGGAAAAAACAAAAGAGAAACAGGAAGACAGAAGATGGCGATTGAAGTTGCATTGAAATTTTGAAGAGTGTTGTTATCCCGGGAAGCAAGTAAAAAACGAATAACGATTGATAATATTTTCATCCAATCAAAATTCCTGATATTACTACTACTAATACTACTAGTGAAAATAAAGCATTTGAAATAAAGATGAAAGAAATCCTAATACAAAATGGTTGACATTGCTTCATTCAATAATATTAATAAAATTCAAATTTAATAAACTGTTTAAAGCAACAAAGATCAATTAATTCATTGAATGAGAAAACTTTTTCAGTGTGTAAATTCACGTGTTAGAGAGATTCTTTTTCGACAAGCTTCCAGCCATGGAATTCTCAGCTTCCTTCTGTAGAACTACATTTTTGTTGCTACAAGCTTCTTCTTCATCCGTGGGGAGATTGTCCAGCATTCACTGCCATATAGGAGGACAGATATCCCCTAACAGTTCAGTACTCTTTTCTTTGTTTCTCTTGCTTCAAGTCACTTCTTCATCATTGAGGAGATTGTCCAGCATTCACTGCCATATAGGAGGACAGATGTCACCTAACAGTTCAGTACTCTTTTCTTTGTTGCTCTTGCTTCAAGTCTCTTCTTCATCTGTTAGGAGATTGTCCAGTATTCACTGTCATATAGGAGGACTGATAATACAGTAGCCTAAGAAAAGTTTTTAACTACGAGAAATAAACTACATCCAATTTCAAAATTCAATTACGTAATCCCTATTCAACATAAACAAACAGTATTTGGAACTAGTATGGAGTAGGTCCTCCATTTGCTAGTTTCAGTGCTTGTATTCGATTTTACATTGATTTGCTCAAGTTATCAACAATCGTTTGAGCCATAGTTTGCCACTCCTTTAGCAATGTTTCTTTAAGGGTTGCCACTGGCGTGATTTTGGTTGCACGTTCTCGAAGTCTTCGACCAAGGTGCTCCCAAACGTGCTTTATTGGATTCATGTCAGGATTTTGGGCTACCCATGGTAGTGACTTGATTCCTTGCGATTCCTTCCAGGCCTTTGCTACTTTGCTAGTATGAAATGGCGTTCCAGCTTCTTGAAAAAGGTAGACATTCTTGTCAATCTGATTGGTTTAAAATAGTGGGAGTAGACCTTTCTTTTGGCAGTGCATTGGACCATTCAACCGCTCGTCAACAAGAATCAGCTCAGATTTCTCTCGAAACCAGACAACGCCCTACACCATTATTTCAATCCCTCCATGTTTCACAGTCGCCTGCAGGCATTCGGAGTTCCAAATCTCATTCTGATTTCTTCAAACATAAACCTGTCTTCATTCGAATATTGGCAGAATTTACTTTCATCTGACCAAATTACAGACTGCCAAACTTCATAATCTTTGTTCTCGAATTCTCTCGCCCAGTCCATACGCCTATTCCTGTTTATCTCTGAAATCAAGGGCTTCTTTCTTACAACTCTTCTTTGATAGCCTAGCTCTTTCAGAGTCTTTCTCACCGCATATGGCGACATTCGCATGCTGTTGGCGACATCTTTGATGCACTGACGACGGTTTCTGATGTCTTCCCTCTTCAGTGTCCTTTTCGTTCGCTCAGACACGATGCTTTGTGCTCCTGAACGTTGTTCCACCCATCAATGGACTTATTCATTAAATTTCTTGCCAATATTATTAGCCGTTTGATGATTAACCTGGAAAAGCCTAGCGATTTGACTTGCCACCCAGATGTCCACTGTACATCACAGTTCATGACACTTTTCTTTGTTTCTCAAGAAACGTCCCTGTTTCTTTATACTTTGCTTAGATTCGGGAAGGCATCTACCTAATGAGCTTGCGTAAATGGATATCTGAACATGAACATCGAAGGACAAAAAGTGAACGAATAGCGCTAGAAATAGGAAGTTGTGGAGAGTCGTGATCGTCCATGTCCTAAAAGGATATAGCATATAAAAGATGTCTTTTATAAATTTAGTGAAAGTTCATTTCACATAGTCTACTAACATTACTTAGGATGAAAAATAATTGGAAGTAGTGGAGAATCATGATCACACACGTCCTGACGGGACACGACACATGAAAAAAAGAATTTGTACATTTAATGATGGTCCATTTCAAATGCCTTACATATATTGCTAAGAGTTACAAAAGATAGGAAGTTGAGGAGAGCCGTGATCGTACACATCCTGATGGGACACAGTACATAAATGTATTTGTACAGTTAACAAACGTCCATTTCACATGTTCTACAAATAATGCTTAGAGCTACAAATGATAGGAAGACGTGGAGAGCCTTGATCGCTTGCATCCTGATGCGGCACGGTATATAAAAGAAGTCTTTGAACAGTTAGTGAACGTGCCATTATCTTAGAGTTATAGAAGAAAGGACGTTGTGGAGAGTCGTTATCACATACATACCGATGCGACAGCGTACATAAAGAATGTCTTAGTGTATTTAGTGATAGTCCATTTCACGACATTGTTTAAGCTACAAAGGTGAGGACATTGTGAAGAGCCGTGATCGTTCACGCCATTACAGTACACGGTACATAAAAGAAGTTTTTGTACTGTTAGTGATCGTCCATTACACATATTCTAAAGATATGGCTTAGAGCTACAAAGGAAGTGGTGGAGAGTCGTGATCGTCCACGTCCAGATGGGTCACAGTACATAAAAGAAGTCTTTGAACTGTTAGTGATCATCAATTTCACATACTCTACAAATATTGCTTAGAGCTACAAGGGAGAGGAAGTTGTGGAGAGTCGTGATCGTCCACGTCTTGATGGGACACGGTACACAAAAGAAGTCTTTATACTGTTAGTGATCATCAATTTCACATACTCTACAAATATTGCTTAGAGCTACAAGGGAGAGGAAGTTGTGGAGAGTCGTGATCGTCCACGTCTTGATGGGACACGGTACACAAAAGAAGTCTTTATACTGTTAGTGATCATCAATTTCACATACTCTACAAATATTGCTTAGAGCTACAAAGGAAGTTGTGGAGAGTCGTGATCGTCCACGTCCTGATGGGACACGGTACATAAAAGAAGTCTTTATACTGTTAGCGATCGTCCATTTCACATTCTCTACAAATATTACTCAGAGCTACAAAGGAAGTTGTGGAGAGTCGTGATCCTCCACGTCCTGATTGGACACGGTACACAAAACAAGTCTTTATACTGTTAGTGATCGTTCATTCCTCATACTCTACAAATATTGCTTAGAGCTACAAGGAAGAGGATGTTGTGGAGAGTCGTGATCGTCCATGTCCTGATGGAACACGTACATAAAAGGAGTCTTTGTACTGTTAGTGATCATCCATTTCACATACTCTACAAATTCTGCTTAGAGCCACAAAACAGAGGAAGTTGTGGAGGGCCGTGATAGCCCACGTCCTTAAGAAACACGACTCGCAAAAGAGGAAGACAGAAAAGTTGTTTCTACGTTGGCAGAATTCTTTTCAACTTCACGAAACAAAAGAGGCATCGCATAATGTCCGCAGTGATGAATAATAAACAGACAGATGCCAGAAGTTAAAATATGCAAGTTTCACTCTTGCTTGTGTGTTGGGCAAAGATGGCGGTGAGGGAAGAAACGGAAGTGGCTTACTGTTAACCGCCTTCTCCATTTTGTTACCGAAAAATGGCCATAGATATAGAACTATCGATTTTTCAACGATGTCCTTACGATCGATGAAGACAACACTCCCGACTCTAACATCAATAATAATCAACTCTCAGAGTATGGAAGCCGATCGTGGCTAAAAATATCAAGTCACGAACGTTTATCCTCCCACTCACCTTGAGTTCCCGTGCAGTCGGGCATGAAGACACGCGCGCACGCAGACACGCGTGGGAATAGACGAAAAAGCACACGGAGGCAAATTGCCGGCGGTAAAAGATAGTTTGGCAGAGAAGAAAAATAATTAAAAACCGCTTCAATCAAAGACTTCGATTATGGAGAAAAACCGCAGGCTTATCACGATGAGAAAAAGTTGCCTTCAGGTAAGAAACTAAGTAAAGTATCAAGACACATGAAAACTTCATTAGAATCAGTGCTGTATTGTTATGTTCAGATCTCACCGCCCACAGCATGTATAAATTGTCATCTAATATATATATATATATATATATATATATATATATATATATATATATATATATGTGTGTGTGTGTGAAAATATATAGAAAATAGGAAGGAACTGGTTAGGTAAATAATCCAAAGTTCCTTAGTATTTTAGTTATTATTTTAAAAAATAGTGCTCGATACAAAAGTAGAGCATAAA